GGGAGACCAGGAAAGGTGGCTTTTCATGGGAAGGCAGGGGTGTGGTTCACCAGCCAGAAGTCTGCATTCGAGGGGGTTCCGAGACTGAGAACCACAAACCTCCCTCTCTTTCCTCCCTTAGCCCGGCCCCCCACTTCTCTTTCCCTTTGAGGGGGTCCTTGGCAAGCACCAAGGCCTGAGGCTACCCATGTGAGAGGCTGGGGTTGGTAGAGGCCACAGGGAAGCAGGGAGTGGATGGAAGGTTCTAGAGCCGTTGCAGTGAAGGAAGATGAACACAGGGAGGATTTCAAGGCTCTGGTGTTCACCTATCCGTCTGTCTGTCTCCTGCTTCCTCGCTGCCTGGCTTTGGGGCGGCACCAGCGCTGTGGTTGGAAACGTCCAGTGCTGCTTGTCGGGACGCCCCAGCCCTCGGGCATGCTTCTCTCTCCTGCCCACACAGCGGGCCTGCCTGCCAGGCTGTGTGACTCAGGGCAGCTGTCTGACCCTCTCTGGGTTCATAAGATGGTGAATGAGGTTCTTAACCTGGGGACTGTGTATAGCCATAGGGGGCTCTCAGCTACCCTAAATCACGCAGTCAGGGGGAGGAGGCATCTCGGGGGAGCCCTGGCAGCCCAGAGCCCGCAATCCCCATGTTTCATGGAGTTATCAACCTCTCTCCACAGCCCACGAGCAGGGTTTGGCTCACTGTCCACTTCCCCCCCTCTGGCCACCTCACTTAACCTGTCTGGCAGGTGGGGACACAGACCTAGAGCGAGGGGCTGCCCCACAGGTGGCTGTATTGAAGGGGCCAGGGACTTCCTGACACTGTCACTCTCCACACAGGGAGCATTAAGGAAGCTGCAGCTCTTCCAATCAGCTTTCCAGGATTGCTGGCTCTGGGGCCACCCCTCCGAGGGGCAGGTGGCAGAGCTGATCTTGAGGGTCCCTGCCCTCTGGGTCCTGGCTGGCGGCTGACGCCTCAGGTGCCTCTCCCAGTCCAGCAGCGCCACCTGGTGGCCCCAGGCACTCAAACATCTCCATCCAACTGGCATTCCCAGGGGATCCGCTGGAGGAGTTGGGATCTGGGAGGTGCTCGCTCACCCAAGATCTCTGGCAGCTCTGAGAACCCAGGCATCCTGCACCCACACACCTCCCCAGGTCATGTGTGTAGGTTCCAGGGGAAGCTCAAAGACGGGGCTTAACCCAGAAGAACGAGTGAGAATGGAAGGGTCCCTGTCATTGTGACTAGTGTGTGTGTGTGTGTGTGTGTGTGCGCGCGCGCGTGTGAGTGCCCAGTTGAGGGGGCAGGTGTCCTGTTGGGAGGGAGACCCTCAGGTCACATCCACCACAGGAATGTAAAGGATGCTGTTGAATAAAGGAAGGAAAATGAATGCATGTGCTGGGGCCTTCCTTGGGGAAGCACTATTTCCTTCATTAGCTCGGTTCAGTCACTAATTATTGCCTGGTGAGCACCATGGGAACACACACACACACGCACCCCCACAACAACACTCACACACACAACACACATGTACACACACACATAAACACATACACACCCAATACACACAGCAACATACACAGACACACACCACACAATACACACCTACACATACACACAACACACATGTACACACAGACACACAATGCGCACACACGTACACATGTGCACACAACGCACATGCACATATACACACATAAACACACATACACGTGATAAGTGTGTATACATACACATACATACGAGTGTTTAATTCTCATAACTGCACCTAAGGCAGTGGTGTAAATCCTCCCCCAGTCAGGTCAGGAGAGGAAACTGAGGCTTAGCGATGGCACGTGACTCGCTCAAGGCTGGAGAAGTTGTTGTGGCCAAGGGGCTGGCGTGGGCCGCACACGCCGTTCCACCGGCCTGGCTCTGAACCTGGGGTGCCTGCCCTGGGCTGGGCTGCGGCACTCCCCATGAGCCTCTGGCCTGAGGATCCGGGGAACTGCTCCTAGACCCGCCCCGCCGTGGCTTTACTCTGGAGAGGAAGGATGGAGTGCAGGTTCAGAGCCCTGGACCTCACCCCCATGGACTAGAACTTGACCCTCAACCTCCAGCAGGTGACTAAGGGGTGTACCCATGGGGATGAGTGGGGCAAAAAGACCCTCACAAGGTCCCAGGTCTCCTCTGTGAAGTGGGGCCTCAGGCCACTGGTACAGTCTGGAGCCTTGGGTGCACGGGGTCAGGTGCCTTTCATCCCTCCACGGCCTGTAGGTCCTGGGTCCTGAAGGTTCCATGCAGCGCGGGTGACTGTGGCCCTGGGCGGCTCCTTCCACCAAGCCCCACCCCTTCTCCCACCTGGGACCTCGTCAGGAACTCCCTCTCTGCTGTGTGGTGCCCTGGGAAGGCCTCCCGAGCATGGGGTGTGACCGGGGACCCCACGCCTTGTGAGGCCACCTCTCTGCCCAGGATCCTTCCTTCCCCCGCAGCTGGGGCCCGAGAAGCCAGGGGCCGCAGGGGCAGGGGGAGCAGAGCCTCAGGCGGGTTCACAGACAGCTTCTCCCATTCCAGTCGTGGCTGGCCTGGGTACCGAGGATCTACCACCACAGGGAGCCATTTGGTCTAAGCTCCTGATTACAGTCGAGGAAACTGAGGCCCAGAGAGGGGCAGGGATGTGGCTGAGGTCTCATGGGCACCTGGTGGGCCTCCTGTGGGGCTGGGCTCTGCTGTGTCTCGAGCTGGGCAGGGGCTGTCTCAGTTTGGGGGGGCACCTGCAGGCCGGACAGCAGGACCCTCCTTATAGATGGCAGAGCCAAGGCTTGGACAGGTCCCAGAGTCAGCGAATCTGCAGATGAGCTGGGCTGGGACCCACATGTATGGCCCCAGCGCGTGGGCTGGTGTCCACACACCCTGGGGCTCAGTTTCTTCATCTGTAAAATAGGGGTGAAATGCCCTGGCCCTGCCAGCCTGCTGAGGCACCAGGGGAACCTGATGCTTGAAGAGCTCCCAGCACCACAGCCTCCGGAGATGCCCAGCCACGAGGGGTCTGGCAGCCAGGTGGGCATGGTGAGGACCAGGAGGGCAGGGCCTCGAACACCTCCTCCTCTCTGAAGCCCTTCTGGACGCCCCTGCTCGGCTGGCCCCACACAGTGTGGGCGAGGGCTCTGAGCCCACAGCCGCCCAGCTGTGCCCCAGGCTGCAGGCTCCCGGGAGCCCTGAAGAGAAGGCGCTGCAGTGGGCAGTACTGAGAGGGAAGACGGGGACAAGCCATGCAGAGTCCCCGAGGGCCATGGCGCTGCTGGGGCAGGGGCCCAGTCTGGATGGCACAGCTGGGCCATGGGATCTGTCCTGCAGTGGGCTTGGTGGGGAGGAATTCATCAGGCTGGCCCCGGGGGAGCAGGGCAGACTGGCAGGGCAGGGGGCCTGCTGAGACCCAGACCCAGAATAGATGGGACCCTCAGGGAGGGTGTGGGGGAGCCCTGGGCCCTCATCCTGCCAGTGTGGGGTGCAGGACCTGACTGGGTCTGAGGAGGCTCCAAGGGGCAGGTGGTCATGTGGAAACAGGGAACAAGGGGTGGGGAGGTGGTGAGCAAGGCAGGGAGCAGGGGGCCAGGCCTGGAGGCAGGGGAAGGTGGAAGCTGTTTGCCCAGGCCCATCTGGCCCTGCTGCGGCAGCCCTGCCCCCCTACCCACCCCCTCCCTGCACCCAGGGCACCCTCCTTTCCGATGACACTCAGCTGACTGGTCCCTACCTCCCTGACCCATAGCTTTCCTGGCTTCTGTCAGGGGGTCAGGGGGTCAGGGGGTCAGGGGGTCAGGAGGTAGGGACCTTGGCCCTGGGGTCAGGCAGGTCCAGTGGGGAATGCTAGCTCCGTTTTGAAGATGGCATTGGGTAGACTCGGTTTGGTGCCATTAGCTCTCAGCCTGTTTTCTCCTCTGCGAATTGCAAACGCAGGCCCCTCGGGCGTGGGGGCCAGCCCAAGTGGGCGGGCGGACACGAGGAGCGACTGGCTCCGGGGGTGTCTTCACCTTGTCCCAGGGTTCCCCTCACCCCTGTCTGCTGTGCTCCCCCGTCCTGGGCTCAGGGAGGGGAGGGGGGCACTAAGAGCCTCCTGAGGGAGGCCGTGGGAGGAGTGTGAAGCGGTGGGAGTTGGGGGCTGTGAAAGTGCGGGGTGTAGACCAGGGCATCGGGGCGGGACCTCCATCTCCGCAGGCCCCCACCCCTGCTCAGGCACCAGAGGCCCCAGGAAGCCCGGGCGGGCGCCCAGTGACATTTCCTGCTATTAATGGAGCTTAATCTAAACAGGCCCTAATATTTACCTCCAGATGCCTCCGGCCTCTGAGGGTGCCAGACAGCGGGAGTGATGAGTCCCGTGCAGGCGCAGCCCTTCTCACCCTGTGCTTTCCTGGGCCGTGTGTGAGGCAGGAGAGGGGCCTGGAAGCTCTGGTCCGAGCCCCCTCCCGGATGCCAAGAGACTCAGTTTCCCCATCTGGCTTATGGGGAGGATCAGAGAACAGGACAGAGCTCTTTCAGCCTATTTGGTAAGCAGTGCTGTGGTCCTTCCCTCTCTCCCTCACTCTCCAGTGTCTACCAGCTGACACATCTCCTCCTTCTCCCTCCGGATCATGCATTTGGTGATCTGACCAGATGTTGTGGGTAGTCTGGCTGCCCTGCTCATGTCTATGTTCTCTCCCTGGGCAGGCAGAGTTGTGACCAGGATCGGGCAGGACCCACCATTCTGCAGGTCTGTGCTCCTACCCCAGCTACTGCTCCCACACCCTGCCCACAACTCTACCACCGATGCCCACCCCTCCAACCCTCACCCTTCAGAGGCCCCTACACCTGCCCCCAGCAGTGGGCAAAACCACGAACCCACAACCACAGTCTTTCCCGTGGAGCCCCTGACTGCCGCCAGGACGGTGAGTGGAGCCGGGGGGGACGCGTGGGCCCCCACCTGGCTCAGTGCCCCCCGGCGACCCCTGCCCACCAGCCAGGGCACTGCGCCAAGGGCGCAAAGGGAGTAAACAGGACGAGGACGCCTCGTTAAGGAAAATGTTCACATCAGATATAAATATACACACCATCTTACGTCTCTCGGGGTTTTCAAAAATCTGGGAAGGGAGGCTCTGCAGATGGAGGTGCAGGGACTTCACACCCTGGCCCCCGTGGGACCAGGGGCAGCCCCAGTCCGGCCTCTGGAGCCTCCTGGGCCTGTGCCCTGATAGAGGAGGCCCGAGTGGGAGGGGCAGCCGTCAGGAGGAGGGAGCAGGTGTCGGAGGAGTATGGGGACACAGACAGGGCCATGTGGGGTGAACCCCTTGCCTCCAGCTCCCTGCTCACCAGCTGCAAGGCCAAGGATAGGAGGGGGTGGGGTGGAGAGCGGGGGAAATAGGCCCACCCAGGGAGGGTTCTGCAGGGGGGCCATCAGACTTGGCTTTCTGAGGTGTGAGCTTGCCCCTCCCAGGCTCGGGTGGTGGAAGGCTCTCGTGGGGTCCTTCATCCCCAAGACTCTCCCAGTCCCAGAGAAACCCAGGTGGGAGAGTGGGATTTCACCTGTAGGCAAGGGGAGGGGGCTTGGGCAGCCTGGGTCTGGACCCCAGTTCTGGCCGCTGGGCTCTTACTTCCATCAGTGGTGGGGATTCAGGCTGCAATGCGTATGAGGCAGACCCAGGCAGACCTGGGACCCAATCAACATTTGCCCAGCCCCATGCTGTCACCCCTCCTTAGAGAGGAGGAAGAGATTTTCAGAAAAACTGCAACCTCTCCATCCCCAAGCACAGCAATCAGCTAGTGTCAGACACTCACTCTTTAGAATAAATTAGAGTGAGAGCCTGGCTGCTGACCCTGGGCTGGGGCCAACCCCTGACACTGACCTTCCCTCCCCTGCTCCGTGGTGGCCCCGGGGGGCGGCTTGCAGGCTGGGGAGAGGCAGAGCTCTGCCGGAGGCTCCTGCCTGAAAACCCACCGTTATTGCTGCTCCCCGGGCTTGGTATTGCTGTTGCTCTGGGCTTCTTGGCACAGTTGCTCCATGCCCTCCTTTCCTGAGAGCCAGGCTCCTCCTCTGCCCTGTGCAGCTCTGGGTCCTTGGTGAGCCACAGCCTTCTCTGAGCTGGGAGGTGGGAGGAGGCTCCAAGGGTGGTGGTCCTGATCCTGACAGCCACACCCTCTGCTTCTTGAGCATCCAGGCCCAGGAAGCAGCCCTGGGCTGGGGGCCCGGCTCCACCACCATCTGAGCAAGGCTTGGACTTCCTTGGGCTCCAGCATCCCTGCCCGGCCAGCCCACAAGGTCCTGGGGCCAGAGACGCTGACCCCGTGGGGCTCCAGCTGTAGTTTGCAGACAGTGCTGTTCTTGCAGTACTCACACTGTGACCCTGGCAAGGTCCCTTCCCTCTCTGAGCCTCAGTTTTGTCTTCTGTAATATGAGGATATAAATGGATTTCCTGCGTCTCATCCAGGCCTCACTCCAGGGCCCTGAACTTGGGGGACAGGGAACTCTGCCTGGAGCCACTGAGCATGTAGGAATTTTCTCTGTAGACAAAGGGCAAACTGGGCCCAGATCCCATCTCACCTGCATCAGTGGCGTTGGCCACGTATGAGGGTGGAGCCTGGTGGCTGGAGGTGCCCGGGATGCCCAGCACTCCTCTCGCGCAACAGGCACCCTCCCCTCTTACAACAATCCAGAAAGGGCTCACAGGGGCTTGGAAGATCGACAGAAGAAATCTGAGTCCAGCTCAGAGAAGGTGACCAGAGGCCCAAGCCAGAGAAATGCTCCCTTCCCAGGAAAGGCCCGGAAGCGTGATGAGCCAGGCCAGCAGGAGAACACAGGGCTCTGTGGAGGCGGGGAGCCAGTGGCCTTGGATCAGCAGGCCAGGGTTCAAGTTGCTATGTCTTTTTTCTTGGTTTCTCATCCACAGGATGGGGCTGTGAGCCCTAGCGCCCTTCAGGGGAAGCAGGCAGGGTATTCTGAGATGGTTCCTGAAATGGGGGGCTTTGGGAAGAGCTGAGCAGTCTCCCTGGGGCAAGCATGGAGGCATTGGAGGAGGTAGGGCTGGGTTTTATTCTGACTTGGTCGTTGCCCAGCCGTGGCACCTGTACGTGACCCTCAGCACCCCCAACAACCTTCCCTGTGTGGTGAATGGGCGAAAAACAGCCTCTCCTTTGTAGAAGTGTCAGCCCAGATACCACTGCGCTTACGGCAAAGCACTCCATGGTGTCATGCTGTCGTCTTGTGAGATGCACAGGTGCCTCCAGAGGGGATCCTGCAGACGTGAACCCGTCATGTCTGCTAAGGTAACATCAGTGTCCCCTGACGTTTCCATTCTGTCCTTGTTCTTCTCTGTCGGGAGGGAGAGTGGGGGTGGGTGGGGAGGGGGCCTCTTCAGGTCATCTTTTCAGCCCTCTTTGAAATTCCCAGAGCCTACCAAACCTTTGTCCCTGTTTCTGAGGAACCTCTTCTGGGATTAGAATGGTCCAAGTGAGAAGCAGCTCCTGGCTACCCCTCTGAGTTTTCAATGGCCACAATATACCCTAGGGGTGTCAAGTAATCAGCATTCAGGCCACCATGCACTCTCTGGAGCCCTTGGCAGACATTGCTAATCAATCTCCAGGCAGTGCACCCGGCAGCCATCACCAATTGATCAAAGTGGACCCAAGTTGCTACCTGGGTCGAGCAGATGTCTGTGCCGTCCCTGGCCTGGTACACCCAGATTAGTCCTGGCCCACGGCCCCCTTGCAGAGTCCTGCTGACTAAGCCTCAGGCCCATTAGCCAGGGTCTGCGTGAGGGCTCGAGGTCTGGCTCCGAGGATGTGATGGTGGCCTGAGCCCTTGGAGCTCCTGTGCATGCTGACCACGTCACAGCTGCTGGGCTCGCACTCCACTCCACGCCCACGGAAGAGGCCCCGGACGGTGGCCTGGAAGCTGCTGGTGACGAAGCAGTAGACGATGGGGTCCATGCAGCTGTTGAGGCTGCTGAGGGTCACGGCCACGTGATAGGCCACGAGGCTAGTGTGGGGCGGCACGTCGGGCCACAGCTCCACGGCCACCTGGCGGGCATGGAAGGGCGTGAAGCAGACGAGGAAGATGACAAGCACGGTGAGCAGCAGCTGCATGGCCCGCACGCGGCGCTGGCGGCCCTGGCGCAGCAGGCCCGGCCGTGACAGCGCGCACAGGATGCGGCCCGTGAACATGCTGATGACCAGCAGCGGCAGCAGGAATTCCAGGACGGTCAGCGCGAGGACTCGGCAGCAGGGCCCGCCGGTGGCCGTCACGCTCAGCACGGACAGGGTCACGATGCTGGCAGCCAGCCATACGAAGGCGCACACGGCCCTGGCACAGGCAGGCTGGCGCCAGCGGCGGGAGCCCTCGGGCTGCACGATGGCCAGGTAGCGGTCCACGCAGATGCAGGTGAGGAAGAGGATGGAGCAGTGCATGTTGAGGAAGTAGCTGAAGACGTGCGGGAGGGCGCAGCGCAGACAGCCGCGGGCACCGTAGAAGACAGCGAAGCGCGTGGGCAGGGACAGCCCCACCAACAGGTCGGTCACCACCAGGTTGATGGTGTAAGTGACCGACGGCGTCTTGGCCCGGGTGCGGCAGCCGAAGACGTACAGCGCCAGCCCGTTGAGCACCAGCCCCGCCAGGAAGATGACGCCATGCACTGCCATCAGCACCAGCCACAGGCCCGGAAGGCAGCATGCAGCTCCTCGTCCAGCAGGGCAAACCGGTGGAACAGGGACATTTCTGACATGCTGTTGTTGGCCCACATCACCCCCGCCACCGTGGCATTGGGGGCTGCCATGGCTGAGGGCCCTGTGGGAGAAGCGGAGGGCATGACAGTGGCCAGCGTGCACCCTGGGCCTGGAAGGAAGGAGACGGGGTTAGCCTGGGGTTATTGGAGCCCTGCCCGGAGGCTGAACCCCACCTGGCTCATCTGTCCACCGAGCACCCCAACATTCCTGCCTTCGTGCCTTTGCCCGGCCCAGCCCTGGCACTTGCCAGTGTGGAGCTTTGGCAGAATGCTAGGGCTCTGAGCCCACGCCTCTCTGACGCAGGAGGTGAAAAGCCTTGCAAGATGATCATCAGGACTGAGAGAAGACAAAGGCGACTGGTGTGGCACAAATAAGATGATGGGCCAAGTGTGGGGTGTTTGAGTCCAGGCTCTAATTCCAGGTCCTCCCTTACTTGCTGTGCAACATCAGGCAAGTCACTTAACCTCTCTGTGCCTCATGTCCTAATCTATACCACTGGAACTGCAGAGCCGCTGGGAGGATTAGCTGAGCACAGCAGCAGCGCCCAAACACCACAGTTCTGCTCGGACAGAGCCCGGCCCATGGTCACCCCAGACCACTGACCCCACACGCATACCTCACAGCCCTGTCCTCCAGGACACCCATTGGTTCTCACCTCCTCCAAGGCTGGCACCAGGTCAATGCCCGGGGCGAGGATCCTCAAATGGGACCTTGCCCAAGGAGCTGGGATGTGGGGAGCGGGAGTCAGTCCCCTGGCCACCCCAGTTTCTTCCCAGCTCTGAGAGGCTGCCACCTTTGCTGTCTCGGAGGCCCACGAGGGCTGGCTCACTGGGCCAGGGGCCTGGCGCCCAGCCCCGGCAGCAGCAGGGCGGGTGTAAGTTAAATAAACTCCGTGCTTCCTGCCGGGCCCAGCCCGGTGGCCGCCCTCGGTGGGGTGGGGTGGGGGCTGGACTGGGGCCGTCCACTTTGTTTCATTCCTGCTGAGCTGTTTAGCTTGTGGAGATTTATCCCTTTGTTTATAAATGAAGGGTTAACAGACTCCCACCCCCACCCTGGGCCAGGCAGATCCTCCAAATACGGACATTTCTGGCTTTTTCAGGAGAAAGGAGAAGGCTTCGGGGGAAGCAGGGAGGAGTGGAGGGCATGTGGGACATCCCAGGGGCAGAGCGCGCCCTCCCCAACCTGCAGGGGGAGGGAAGACCCCCCTTTTCCTGGTGACTGAGGGAAGCGAGGTGTCTGCCCTGCCTACTCCCCCTGGCCTCAGGCAACAGGCACCCTGTGGAAGCCCTGCCTGCTGGGGGCTGGGGACAAAATGCCCAGCCCGGCTGGGTGGGCACAGCAGGGGAGCTCTTGCTAGCTGAAGTTCGGGTCCCAGCCTGGCCTGGAGGGAGGCCCAGGCAGGGCACGTGGCTGCCTCCCTCCTCCCGCTCAGAGAGGTCAGCACCAGCAGAGCCTCTGCCTTGGGAGTCTGCCCTCACTCGAGGCTGCGGGGAGGGGTCAGGTGCTGCCCGGGCCTGTGCCCGGCCGCTGAGCCACCTCCGGCACAGGTGTGTCCAGGCCTCAGCTCCCGGGGGGGCGCCCTCTGCTCAGTGTCCTCAGCCCTAACGCACAGGGATGGTGGGTGTGTATGTCAAACGGCAGCCCGGGGACGTAGGAAGTCAGAGGGACATCTGGGACAGAGACCTTCTGTGGGCGCGAGGGGGCAGCGAGGGGAGGCGACGAGGCTGGCACCGCGGGGCCGTGGGCAGCAGGGTCCCAGATATTCCCTTGGAGGGACGGGGACGCCTCCCAGCGTGCCGCTTCTCTACTACGAGAAACATGACGCCTCGGCAAACCAGGGAGGAAGGGGCCAGGGAGCGAGGAGCTGGCCCCAGACACACAGCAAATAATGGTTTTGAATTTCCTTCCACGTGCTTTTCAGTTTTCCATCTGCACGAGATCTGTATTAGTGTCACAGTCGGAGACAAATCATAAACATCGCAGAGCGCTTCCTCTGGGGAGATGGTCCCAGGATGACGCTGGCCCGGGGGAGCCTGCCCACCCAGGAAGCTCCCCAAGGGCAGCCTCGCACGCTGGCCAGCAGCTCGCTGAAGGTTCTGGGGGTTCCAGGCCAGCACTGCAGGCCTCGGGGGGCCCCAGAGCAGGGAGATGTGCACGCAGGACACCCCAGAAGCTAGACAGGTAAGAACAGAGGATGTCCGCAAAGCACATGCTGGTTCTCAGCTCCGGGAGTCTGCGCCTGATCTCAGGCGCCCACTGGGCGCCAGCCCTGGTCACACACTGAGCCACAGTCCAGGAACATGATGACCCTTGGTGTCTGTCGCACTGAACCCGGGGCCTGGCCGCAGCCTGGTCCCTCAGCCCTGACTTCCTCACCCGCCATCCCTTCCCCTCTGCTCTCTGCTGAGTCTGATCTCTCAGCTTCTGTCTGTGTGACAGGACTGCCGCCACCCCCCCACTCACCCCATCCCCAGCAGGCCTGGCCCTCTGCCCTGCCTCTCACAATGACAACCATGGATCTGATTCTCAAAGGACCATTCTCTGGGCATCTGCTCAGGATCCCTTTGGTTCTGAAAGATGAGGAACTCAAACAGTGAGACTCTGGACCCTGTGCTCAGCCTGTGGAGGTGGGCCTCCCGAATCAACCATCCGCGGCCCTCCCCTCTCTGAGGCAGGGAGGGAGATGGGCTGGGAGGCTGTGGGCGGAGCAGCCCGCACCCCCCACAGCCTCAGGGAGGAACCCCCTGCTCCGCCTCGGCTTCCCAGTGGGCTCCCCTGCCTGAGCTCCTGGGCTCCCCGATGCACCCTGGGACGGACTCCCCACCCCCCTGAATCCTTTGGGTCAAGCGTGTGCCCTCCTGCTGGGCCCCCAGCCCTTCAGCCAGGTGCCCCCCTACCCTGTCCACGCTCTCAGCACCCTGTGCTCCTGCCGACCCTCTCCGCCCTCTCCTCCCGCTGTCCACACCCAGGGCCCCTGCGCCCCTGCGTGCTGCCCCAGGCCGGGCCTGTCCATGCTTCCAAGGGAAGCAGGGGCTCAGGGCGGTGTGGAATGCCACAGCGGGTGACAGCGGGGGGTGGGGAGTGTTGTGGGGAGCGTTCAAACAGTAACAGTCACCAGCGGAGGTGCGGGCTGGGGGCTGGCCCCCACTGGTCACTGGTCACCCGGGGTGTTGATTAACCTCCCTGAGCCTCAGTTTCCCTGCCTGGAAAGTGATGGAACAAGAACACCTCCTTTCTGCAGCCTCCAAGCAGACCCATGGCATCGCTTCTGTGCAGAGCTGGGTGCTGCGCACCGGGCCCTCCTCACCAGCTCCTGGCCTCTTCTGTTCTCTCGGAGGAAACTGCGGCTCTGGGAGGGACAGGCCAGGACTTGAACCCAGGTCTGCCTCGCATGAGCCCACAGCCAGGGCCTTGCTTCTGGGGGAGGGTGGGGCACCCCGGCAAGCGGCCCCCTCTGCCCGTGGCTGGGACTTCTGCTGGCAGCTCTTTCGTGGGTTTCCCAAGCTGGTTGGATGTGAGACTCAAGCTGCTGATGGCTGTGTTCCTCTAGAAGAAGTCCACAGGAGGAGGGACACAGTCCTGACAGGGCGATTCAGGGCCCGGGTCCAGCCTCGCCTGGAACCAATATTCTGGGACTTGCGGGTTACCTTCCTCTTTGACTTAAGTTACTTTGAGTAGAGTTTCTGTCACTTGTGACTAAAATAATTGGCTGTACCCTCCTATTCACCTGTCAGCTTTCTTCAGTTCAGATGCTTCTTCCTTCAGAGAGCCCTCGCTGATTGCTTCAGGTAGATTTGCTGCCACTTCTGTGCCCTCACAGGCCTCCCCCACCAGCCTGCGAGTTTTGGGAGGAGAGGCTGGCACGCTCACATTCAGTAAACGTCAAATGGGTGAGTGAATGACTGTAAAGGCCCAGCTTGCACTCGGAGGGTGGAGAACTTGCTACCTACCAGGCTAGACCACCGCGTAGCCCCTGGCCTCTCTGTTTGGCATGGCTTGGAATATGCCTGCTTTCTCTGCCCCTTTCCCGGGGGCCCTGCAGTGAGAAGGAACTGGGGAGAGACATCTGGACCCTCCTATCATTGTGGAGGGGGAAGATCCGTATTTTATGAATGAGGATGCCAGATGGAGAGACAGAGAGCTTCAGCAACTAGCCTGGGACCTTGCCCCGCCTGGCCTTGGAGTGAGAATTCTGACAGTGCAGGTGTCCTCTCTAAACCTCAGTATCTTTGCTTGTGAACTGGGGACAGCCACAGGGCTGTCGTGGGCCTTAGCTGAGATAGAACACCTGGTGCAGGTATGGCCAGAGGTGGAGAGGTGGGGCAGGGCCCCAGCAGGGTGCTCTGTATGGTCCGTGGAGGGCAGCCTTTTTCCCCTGACCCCTCCAGATGCGCAGGCCTGGAGCTCCAAGACCCTCTAGGGGAGGCGTGGTGGGTGAAGGATATCTCCGTCTTCCTCATACGCCTCCCCCCTGGCGTCTGGTTACAACCAGCCTTCAGGGGTGGGGCCACCGGGGCAGGAGTCTTCCCTGGGAAAAGCCTGAGGCTCTGAGCCGGGCTGGGGGAGCCCTTCTGAGTGAGGAAGCTCCAGGTGCCCTCCAACTGCTGTGCCTGCGCCCAGGCTGCTCCCGCCCCCTCCCTCTCCTGCCTATTTTTAGGACCCCCCCCAAGCCTCAGCTCCTCGGGAAGACGTCTCTTTCCTCCGTGACTGGTTTGGTGTCTCTCCTGGGTGTTCCTCGCCCTGCACCCTGTGCTTCCTCCAGCCTGGGACCAGCCCACGGTGCCTCCCCCACCAGACTGTGAGCATCTTGGGTGGGCCTGGTGGGGGTGGGACTGAGCTCCCGTCTGCAGCTCCCGGAACAGCCAGGCACAGAGTGGCATCCATCTTTCTCTCTGGCTGAGTGAACCCCTGAGCAAGCCCAGCAGAGCCTGTGGGGCGAGGCCCGCTCAGGCACTTGGGGCCTCCACAGGTGGCCCAGCCCCTTCGTAGCCCACCCAGTGTCCCAAGCCCAGCCTGGAACTGGCTTCTGCCCTCAGCTCCGCCCTCACTCCCCACCAGTCCTCCCAGCCTAGCAGGGCTGACACCTCCTCCTGGAAGCCCACCCAATCGCACAGCACGTCTGGCCGTGTTGTCCCCGCCCCTCCCCCGACCCTTGGTGCTCATCACTGGTGTTTGTCTCAGAGCCTCAGTTCCTTCGCCTGTGATGCTGCGCATGCTATTTGTCGAATGAACGAGTGACTGAGCTCATAAGTGAAGTCGGCAGGACAGCTAGAGGTACTGGTGGGGAAACGCCTGCAGACGCCCCCACACAGAAGGAGCAGAAACAGCCATGCCCGAGGCCCCTGGCTTCCCGCCGGAACGAGGCCTGCCCGGGTCTGCCGCCCACCTCTGCGGAGAGGCCCGGGTCACCCCAAGCGCTCAGTGCAGGGCTTCTCAGAACTTCTGCCAAGCTCCCAAACCCAGGGAATCTTCCCGGAGGGGAGGATGAGCGTCTTTCCCAAAGTCACTTGACCCTGCCCCACTTTGGGCCCCCTCTCTGTCCAGCCTGGTGGCCACACCAATTCTCCACACCCAGAGTGGGAGGTCATGCCCGGCTACCTCCCTCGCAGCTTTGGGGTCCTTGCTGTGTGCCCAGGTGCACAGGCCAAGACCCGGAGCCTCAGGGCGCCAGTACTTGCCCACGGACGGCTGGGGGGTGCCGGCCGCGCTGACCGCCCTGCCTTTGCAGGTGAGGGTGCATCCTAACATCTCCTTGGCTTCTCTTGAACCCATCCCGCCATCCCTGTGTGTTCTCTGTGGCTGCCCAGCTGCCTGGCAGATGCCAATCCCACAGCTTGGCTGCTAATATGATACCAGGGCAGCCAGAGAGCCCGACCTCAGCCCTGGGCAACAGCCTGGGAGTTTATCCCAAGATCCCAGGTTCATCTGAAGCTCCCATATCAGGAGCCAGGAGGGACAGGCATGGAGGACAGGCCCAGCCTTTCCCCTTCGAAGGTGCCTGGGGCATCTGCTGGGGACCAGCCACCCTGCCAGGAACTCTGCATCCACATAATAATCCTGGGTTTTATAGGAGAAGTAGAGGCCCAGAGAGGTGAGTGACATGCTTTAGGACACACAGCATGAACTCGGAGCTGGGAATCAAAGGCAGGTCCACCGGCTCCAGACCCAGGCAGGGGCAGGACCGGGCTGGGGTCAACATTTCTGGACCTGGGGTTTGCGCGCAGATTCTGGGTACACAGAGCACCTGGATATGCCCGTGCCCTCGACGGGGTGACCCTCACGGCCTTCCAAGCCCCAAATAGCCATTACTGGGGGAACCACCTGCATGTTAATTATCCTGATTATTCTTGACTTCACAGCATCTGCTTTAGAACATCGCCTGCTGACTTTGGCCAATCTGAGCCTCTGTTTGTTCCATCCAGGGACAGCTGGGCCCTTACTGAGCCCCGACCCGGGCTCCGCAAGGGGACCAGACTGGCCCTGGTCGCCCAGCAGGTCCCAAGTGGCACCAGCGGAGTCGAGGTCCCCACCCTGGCCAGGGCTCTTCCGCCTAGCCCCTGGAGAGGGGACACTCGTGGACCTAGGTTGAGCACCTGGGCTCCACCCCACGTAACCCAGCCTCACGTTTTACCATCTGAGAGCCCTTGGCTGAGATCTTGGCTCTGATGGCAACGCAAGCTTCTCTGGGGCAGGCAGCCGCAGACATTGCCACATATGGGGCTCCTGCCTGGTGCTAGGCAGTGCTCCCTGCCAGCCTGGTTCACCCCGCACCTCGCCTCGAGGGCCACAGCTGGTGCGCAGCAGAGCCCGCCGGCCCCACCCGGCCTCCCGGGGGCAGCGCAGTGGCTTCCACGGCTGCTTCTGCCCTATGGCCCTCAGCCTGGTCCACAGCGTCTGGGCTGTGGTTCCCTCGGCCTGATGTGCCGCTTCTGCCATGTCACCTGTCGAAGGCCCCTGGTGCCCACAGTCCCCCCCGACCCCACACAGTCCTCCCTGGGCCCCTGGACACCCCTCCACGGGGGCAGAGCCGCAATGCCACAGTTCACGGGTTGTCTCCAAAATGACCCCTCCAGGGTCTCACTGCCTCCTCCCAAGACGCCCTCATGCCAGTGTCACTGGCCCCATCTTGCCTGCGGGGGAACTGAGGCACAGGGAGGTTAAGTAACATGCCTGGGGTCAGCCAGATGGGGGTGGACGAGCTGGGATTCGAACTCTGCCCCAAGGACCCTCTCGCCTGCACCAGGCCACTGAATGTTTACCATGGCCCACTGTGCAGAGAAGGACTCAAAGGTCCGGGGGCTGGCCGCTTGCCCCACGCCACACATCCAGGGTCCTGGGAACAGTTAGGACCACATGCTTTGGAGGCATCAGATCTGGCCCTGAACCCCAGTGCTGGGGGCACGAAGGGTCCCAGGCAGATGTAGCTCCAGCTCACGGAGCTTGCAGCTGGGGGCAGGGTCGGGGAAGTGGGCTGGAAGTGGCAGAGGGGGCAACTTTGGCCGGTCAGGAGCAGGAGGGCCCTTAGGAGGGTCTAGGGGAACAGTGTTTCAGGCACTGGGAAGAGCACAGCGTGGGCCCTGAGGCAGGAAGCAGGCTTCTGTGTTCAGGGCACCCTGAGAGGCCTATGGGGTGGCCTGGGTGTGGTGCTAGCTGTTGGTGTTCTTCAGGCCCCAGCGCCACCTCCTCAAGGAGGCCCTCCTGGATGGCCCAGCTCCCTGCATACCCTTGACTTCCACCTGCTTTCTTTCCCTTGCAGCCCTTCCAACACCTGACAGCTTCGTATTTATTTCTTTCCTGTTTCTTGTTTTTCCCCTACTGGACTGGCGATGCCTCGAGGGCCAGGACCTGGGCTGGCCTTTCAGGGCTGCGGCTGAATAAATAAACAAATGATTTTGAGAGACCACCTTTGGCCTCTTCAAGCCTGAGCTTCCTCACCTGTAAAGTGGGAGTGCTGAGACCCCCCGCATCACATCAGGTTACCCCAGGACAAAATGAGACCAACCCCTCCCCCACACACTGGGGGCTGGGAACCAGCAGATCTTGCTTTTGCTGAGGCTCAGAGGGGGCCAGCGACTTGTCCATGGCCACACAGCTGTGAGGGGAGGTGGCACCCTGGGTGACTCTCTGGTTGGGAGTGACCAGATGTTGGCAGAAGAATATGGGGGCCAATGGGTGGGGCCAATGTGTAGGGCCAGCCGCCTGCCTGAGGGCTGTGAGCCACTGCCACCACCCCTTCAGTCCCTTCCGTTCCCAGTCTGGCCCCAGGACGCACAGCTGCTCCCTGTCTGTCCTGCCCGGCACCCTGGCCACAGGCCAGTTCCCAACCCGCCCTCCCCCTCGGGACCCTGTCCTTGCTGCCTTCTCACAGGGCGGTCAGTGCCAGCGGGGGCCAGGCAGGGCAGTGCAGTGACAGGTCCACACTGAGGGCTGGGTGGGCTGGCCGCCCTGGGCCTCAGTTTCTCCATCTCTACAAGGCTGGGGGAAGGGCTGGGGCTGGGGCTTAAGACCTGAGCTGCGGGATGACAGGAGGCCACCCTGCTTGGAGCCTGTCCCCACGAATCCCCCAACCCTCAGCCCTGCCCCAGCTTGGGGGATGCTGGTGGCCGAGGTCCCAGAGCTCATCAAATGCCTCTGGGGTCCCCCAACCCCTTTCCTGGCCTGGCCTCTGGGGCCACCCTCATGCCTTGACAGGTGGGGAAAGGCAGCCCCCAGCAGATGCCCAGTAGGAGTGTTGAATGAATGATGAGTGAACGAGTTCCAGGGAAGGGGGCTGTGGATCCAGCAGCACAGATGGGGCTCAGGGCAGCAGGAGCTCTCCCCACCCCCAACACAGCCCTCACCCTCAATCTCAGTTTTCCCATCTGTGCAATGGTTCCTTGCACAGCAAGACATCAAACCCCTTTCAGGCTCCAAGCGCTCTCCTGCCCCTGTCTTTCTCTGTCCTGCAACCTCTTCCTGCCCCGCTGAGGAGTGAGGACACCCAGTGTCCTGGGAGGGGAGGTCTGGCCCGCCGAGGGGGACTCACCACGGCTGGAGAGGAGATGGCCTCCCGCTGCAGCTCTGCGGGCCACTTACTCCGATGGCCAGCCTGGACCGCGCCTTCCTGGGGCCTGACGTCAGGCCCGTGCTTGGGACTCCTTTTGGGCAAAGGCAGCGGGGGGTGGGTGGGGGGGGTGGGGGGTGGGGGGCGGGGGCAGGG